TTTTATGATTGATGCTTAAAATGTTAGTGCTTTTATGACTACATCGCTTAGCAATCTCGCCCCATTAAACACGGCCGGTAAAGATGGGATAGCAAGAAATCACATCTTCATTCACCATTTCATCTTACATACTGCGCACCTAATCAAGAAGGAAGCAATTACAACTCGCATCAAGCATAGAATTCTTATCGAAAGTATCAGGTTGAAAACCCAATCTAATAAAATGGGCATCATTTTATTCATCCTCAAAGGCCGATTCAACACCTGAGCACAAATGGGTATGTGAAACTGCTGGGTGTAACTCCTTTCTGTAGCATTTTCAGGTGCTTAAATGAGAGTGAATTCTCAGGCCAGAAAAACAAAAAGTTGAATTTTGAGGAGAGACTTGTTTCGTGATTGAAGATCAAGTAAGCATAATCGACGAATTTGCGGTCGACCAGGTTTGTAGAACACAGTTTTTGTGAAACGAGCCGTGAAGGGGGCATTTGAGTGAGGGGATGGCGGAGGAGCTACGGAGAAAGGAGAGGAGCTTCGGCCTCGCCTCCCCGCGCTCGGAAAATTTAAAACCTTTATTGCTTTTTTAGGAGATACGAAAATGAAAATCGTAACCTACTTGTATTAAAAAATTCTTACATTCAGTTGTAATTAATGTATTACAAATATCATAAATATTAATACGTTCAATTTTAACTAAATAAATTTTAATAATGATTTTATGGGGGCGTTTACATCCTCATAAAATGACGTTGTTTTTATTTTTTTAATAAATTAGTAAAAATTTGTAAAAATTTGTAAACAAATTATTATTTTATTTATATTACTCTTAATTAACAAAATAAATATAAAAAAATTTTAGTGAGATGGAAAATTAAAATTAAGCAATAATAATAAAATTAATAAGAAAACAAAGTATTTATGTTCATTAAAAAAATTAAAAACAACTAAGTCTCCGAGATCAAAACATTAAAAAAAAAAAAAAATCATTATGTAACCTAGAATCCACTAGGAAACCACAAGTATCCTTTGTTTTCGCCTGCAATGGCACATGGATGTTAATGAATGGGGAAATTTTTGAAATAAAGGAAAGTTTACTTTGTATCTTGAAAAAACAATGTTTTCATTTATCAAAATGGACAAGTAATTTCCCTTTTTAAGTGTACACAATAAATTTAACTACTTAAATACTATAGTATATAAATCAAGAAAACTCTAAAGAAAATCCACATATAAATAAGTTTAAATTTGCATATAAATTTTACACTAATAAAAAATATTTTTTTCTTATTGTATATAGTTTTTATAGCATCTTACATTATATATATATATATATATTTTAACTAATTTTACAAGGGATCAAATTCAAACTGTTACTTGATGAAAGAGAGATGCATTTAAATGTGACTTGATGTCAATAGGCCAAAGGTGAAGTGCATCTTACATTCTATATCTTTACATCTTGGTTTGCAGAGATTTATATAACAACGGCTAAATTTCTAAGTTAAGAGGGTTTTATTTAAGAATTAATGTACTCAATTGTAAAAATTCAAAATAATTTCATCAGGTAAAAGATCAAAAGTTAAAAAGAAAGAATAATATTTTTCAATGGATGATTTAAAAAGGTTTTTAACAAAAATACTGTAAATTAAAAATATAATTCAATTTATAAATTTATTTAAATATTTTTAATAAAATTATTTTTTATATTATTTTATTAAAATATTAAAATAAATTCATCAAACAAACTCAATTTTTTATCTCTTAATAATTTACCTATCTACACTAGGCCCGGTCGGCCACCCGACCACTTATTCCGATCGGATCCTGTCTGAATCCCCAAACCCTCACCCCGATCAGAGGTTTTCTCATGTCTTCCATTTTCCTTCACTTTCCCAATAACCAAACAGACCCAAGAATTTTTCTTCCCAGTGAAGCAACGGCTTTATTCTCCTCTACTTCCCCAGAAAGCAAAACCCATGAAACCAAGTTAATCTGAAAACCCTGCAAAATTTCGGCGATGGATTTCAACGAACTGGAGGCGATGGAGGGTCTGCGGTGGTCGTGGCACTCATGGCCGACGACCAAAACCGATGCCACATCCCTCATCATCCCGCTGTCTGTTATGTGCACTCCGTTAATGCAATCCGCCGAGCTCCCGCTCCTGCCTTACGATCCCCTTCTCTGCTCTCACTGCAGCGCCGTTTTGAACCCCTTTGCCCGCGTCGACTACACCACCCGCATCTGGTCCTGTCCATTCTGCTTCCACAGGAATCCCTTTCCCCGCTCCTACTCCAACCTCGGCGAATCCAGCCTCCCGGCCGAACTCTTCCCCACCTACAACTCAGTCGAGTACGCTAAAAACAACTATAACGTTAATTCCGGTGGAGGTGTGGGGTTGTCAAGGTCGTCCTCTTCGTTGATGTCAATGTCATCGGTAGTATCGACGCCACGGGAAGCGAGAGGGTTAGTAGGGCCGGCATTTGTTTTTGTGTTGGATGCGTGTATGGAGGAGGAGGAGCTGAGAGCAGTTAAGAGGGAGTTGCTGCTTATAGTAGAGCAGCTTCCAGAGAACGCATTGGTGGGTTTGGTTGCTTTTGATGCCATGGTGAAGGTATATGATCTTGGGTTTTCCGACTGTTCCAGGGTCGTCCTATTCCCTGGCGAAAGGGAGCTGTCTTCAGAGCAGGTACTTAGTTCAGTAGTAAATACCTGTATTGTATTATGGTTTGATGGATCATGCGTGATATATATTGTTTGTACCGATGTGAACTGTATTTTGTTAGCAATGGAAACTGGAAAGAATCATCTAGTTGTGTTCTATGCTAAAATGCTGTTTATGTTTGGACAAAATCTATCTTTTCTGTTTACTAATTCGGAAAGCAGAATGATCTAATGTTGGCCATTTAGTGCCTAGTTTCTCAGTGAGTTCATTGGATTCTGGCTTATTAGTTGCTATTAAGAAGTTAGATCTTCTTTTAGAGGCATGCCACTTGTTGCTGCTGAATCTTTTTTCTCTGAATTTAAGTTGCAACTTGCAAACATTTGAAGCTTTTAATTTTGGGAGCTTCTCAATAATGAAATAACGATGAGATTTTTCCTGCTTTAATGCCCTCAGGTACGCACATTTCTTGGTATTGATGGTACAAAGCAACAGCAACTTGCAAAGAATCCATTTCTCCGAAATCAAAGTTTTTTGCTACCTGTTTCTGAATGTGAATTCAACATCACAACTGCAATTGAGGAGCTCTATTGTTCTATGAGGGTTGTGCCAGGCCATCGCCCTCAAAGAGCAACTGGAGCGGCAATATCAACTGCACTTGGACTTCTAGAAGGTTGCTTATGTAACACAGGTGCTAGGATCATGGTCTTCACATCTGGACCTGCAACTCTAGGTCCTGGAATCATTGTAGACTCTGATCTCCGTATTGCCATTAGAAATCACAGAGAACTCATCAATGGTCACGCACCTTACTACAGAAAGTCTTGCAGCTTTTATAAGAGATTGGTGCAGAGATTATCTGATTCATCCGTTATTCTTGATCTGTTTGCATCCTCTCTTGATCAAGTTGGAGTGGCGGAGCTAAAAGCTCCTGTTGAGAGTTCAGGTGGCTTCATGATGCTTGGGGAATTATTTGAGTCGGATCAATTCAGAAAATGCATGCGGCATATATTTAGTCATGATCAAGAGGGCAATTTGCAGATGTTTTTTGATGCAACCATTGAGATAGTGACCACTAAAGATGTGAAAATTTGTGGAGCTCTTGGACCTTGTGTTTCTCTTCAGAGAAAGAACAGTTCAGTGAGTAACAATGTAATTGGGGAAGGTGGTACCCATCTATGGAAGTTGTGCACACTGACAAACAAAACATGCTTTGCTTTTTTCTTCCAAGTGGCAGATGAGCAGAAGCCTCAACCTGGATCTGTGTTTCTAGTACAATTTATAACCCGTTATCAACATGGGAGCATGGGGATCCGGAAGAGAGTGACAACTACTGCTAGAAGATGGGTTGCAAAGCAGTCACCAGAAATTGCGGCTGGCTTTGATCAAGAAGCAGCTGCTTCAATCATGGCAAGACTTGCCATCCACCGAGCAGAAACCTGCACTGCTACAGATGTTGTCAGATGGTTGGACGACACACTTGTACGTTTTGCTTCAAAGTTTGGAGACTATGTGCAAGAAGATCCATCATCTTTCCGCCTTTCCTCAAAATTCTCTCTTTATCCTCAGTTTATGTTCTATTTGAGGAGGTCACAATTTATTGATGTTTTTAACACAACTCCTGATGAGACTGCATTTTTCCGGTTGATGCTCAATCGCGAAGGAGTAATGGACTCTATTGTCATGATTCAACCTACACTTCTACAGTATTCATTTGATGGGCCTCCGGTTCCAGTTCTCTTAGATGTTCGCTCCATATCTCCGGATGTCATTTTACTGTTTGATTCTTTCTTTTGTGTGGTTATTCATTATGGATCTAAGATTGCTCAATGGAGGAAGCTTGGTTATGACAAAGACCCAAATCATGAGAATCTGAGAAAGTTATTGGAAGCCCCAGTGCTAGATGCAGAACAATTGACGGCAGATCGAATTCCAGCACCAAAGCTTATAAAATGTGACCAGCATAGTAGTCAGGCAAGATTCCTTCTTGCCAAGCTGAATCCATCTGTAACTCAGGATTCAACCTACACAGAAGGATCAGATATCATATTTACTGATGATTTGAGCTTACAAGTTTTCATAAACCACTTGCAGGCTCTTGCAGTGCAGTCATAAAATGACTGCAATTTTGTATAGGATTTTTATTTCAAAGGCAGTAATAGAGAGAAGAACAAGAAAAGGGAAAACTGGAAACCATCCTCTGTGCATTGCTTCCTTGGGTAAAGGATGTTATATTATTATCCAAAAGTTGGCAGGTACATCCTCATACATTTTTCTGCTTTCAAATTTTGAAATGAGAGCTATATAGATTGTAGTTTTGGTCTTCTTGTATGGCTACTTAAAGTCGATGGAAGGCAGCTTGGGTTCTATGTTATGACCAAAATCGCAGTCGCTTCATTGTAGTTTACCGGCCAGGAGATTCCTGTGGAACCTGTGTTCTGTTATGAGTTACAGAGTGTATGACTGTTTTTCTGCATTTTGTATGATATGATGAAAATGAAGAAAGTTTGAGCTTTAAGGGATTGAATTGCATGCAGTGTCCTTGATTATTCTTCCTAGCAACATTAATACTTGGCAATAGGTTAACCCTTTGCACCTGAAACGGAAATACAATGTGGCATTTTGGTTTTGGAGACTTGAAGCATTGTTTCAGTATAACCCAGAAACAGAAATTTATCAAGTATTACTCCCATATCCTAATAAAGAGGACCATTTAGCCTAGGCATTGGATCTACTATTATTAGGGATGGCCTCACGGGACCCCATCCCATCCCCATCCCCATCCTCATCCCCATCCCTGTCATTGATGGATATGGGATGAATACGGAAATTTCTACAGAGATTTTTTATGATGCTAAAAATTGCCTTCCATCTCCATCTTCAGAAAAGTATATAAATTTTTTTTACTTAGCTCTATATAAAAAGACTTTAATTCATTTAATTTTTAGCTTAAATAAAAAAAAGTCTAAAAGTATTTTAAAAAATAGTTATTTTAATTTTTTTTTCTAAAAAATGAATTAAATAAATAAGAATAAAGTAAGCTTTGCTTAATAAATAAATAAATAAAGTAAACTACATACCAATTAAAGAAAACTCATAAAACAAGGAGGTGAAATTAGGTGAAACTAAAGTGGTCGAGAGAAAAAATACGAGAATCAAAGTGTTTGTGGTTAGGAATTGAGAGTTTGAAAATTAAGATATTAAGATTTATTCTAATTTGTAGAAATATAATTTATAATTTTTTTTATTAATTAACAGTTTTATTCATAGGGTGAAAAAAATTTTTGCAAAATTTTATAGAGAAAAAATTACATTTATTTTTACCATAAAAACATAAAAATTTTAAAAATCTTTATCTCTACAACAAGAATCTTTATGAAGCTTTATGAGTTACAGAAAAAATTATCATCCTTAACTATTATGTATCATCTTGTAAATCAAGTCTACGTCTAATTTTCTTAAATGTGTATGTTAACCACGGGGGTGCACTTTTCAATATCAAAACTCAACCATTAACAGTTCAGCCCAGTTATGATGTGTCTGTCTCTCAATCCGGATAAGCCTAAATTTTGATTGAGAAAGTTTTGAATTTTGCACCATTTCTGCATCTTCCAAGTCATTTCACTTAATTTTCACGTCCATGGAAAGCAACTTGCTTTCTTCAAAGTAAAGTTGAAATCTCACGGACCTTGTAACCTCTCAAATCTCAACCTTGCAACTTGCAACAAAGGCCAGGTGGTACCAATTACCTGTTAGTCGAGTGGAATGAGTTCGGTTTTTCTTAAATAAGATCTTAAGTTCAAATTTTATAAATGGAGTACCTCTTAATGGGGTCCAACACGGTTCGATTTTAGATTAGTCGAGACTCACTATGCTTATTGGATACCAGAAGGTTAATATTAAAAATACAAAGGCCAGGTTGTCTCTTCTTTGATAAATTTGACCCATCCCATAACATTGAAATATACCACCTAAACTACTCTGTCTCGAAAGAGATCTTAAATAAGATTTTAAGTTCAAATTTTATAAATGGAGTACCTCTTAATGGGGTCCAACACGGTTCGATTTTAGATTAGTCGAGACTCACTATGCTTATTGGATACCAGAAGGTTAATATTAAAAATACAAAGGCCAGGTTGTCTCTTCTTTGATAAATTTGACCCATCCCATAACATTGAAATATACCACCTAAACTACTCTGTCTCGAAAGAGATCTTAAATAAGATTTTAAGTTCAAATTTTATAAATGGAGTACCTCTTAATGGGGTCCAACACGGTTCGATTTTAGATTAGTCGAGACTCACTATGCTTATTGGATACCAGAAGGTTAATATTAAAAATACAAAGGCCAGGTTGTCTCTTCTTTGATAAATTTGACCCATCCCATAACATTGAAATATACCACCTAAACTACTCTTTCTCGAAAGAGATTGTTAAAAAATTATAGAGAAATGTTTAGAGTGCTCTACTTAAAATTAATAGAATCTTTTAATTTTTACTATGTTTTCATTTATTTTTTTTTATTTCTATATTTTTCTGCATCCCAGGTTTCAGTTTGTTAAAAAAAAATTTATACCACTTGAGATCTACTTTTTAGGTTATGATTTCATTTTTCTCTTTGAAAAATATTTTTTACCCACAAAAGTTCAAAGAGCGAATTTGTCAAAAAAGTTTCATAAAAAAATGATTAATCAAATAAAAAAATATATTTGAAGAACTAATTTACTTATTTTTCTTTGTTTGAATAGTTCCACTTCCTAATTCTAATTGTTTTGTTTTATCAAATAAAAAATAATAATTTTTAAGAACTAATTTTGCATATTTTTCCTTTGTTTTGATTTTACTCAAGCGAAGCACTCATCATCAATTCTTGACTTCTTTCAGAATCAAATCTATCGCTCTCAAACTCCTCCCTTGATCCTCTCCAGGCACAATTTTACCAACTGGTCATACTTTGCCTCTTAGATAACACCCTCACTTCGTCATATCTGTTTCGTCAATAATTCCATTGTGCCCCCATTAATGGGACCAAGCAATGTCCCTTTCTTGATTATGCAACTAGAAGTTCGATTAATCTCATTCCTCTATCCAAATTAACCAATCAAAAATGGACTTACTGCTCATCACCCATATAATTCAAGAAATTATTAATCAAGTTTTTTGATTAAATAAAATGTTATTTTTTAACCAGAATTAATTGAAATATATTATTGGTATAGTTAATATATATCTACCTCTATAACACATGATAAAAATAATTTAGTGATAATTTATTTTTTTTTAAAATGTTATAATTATCATGTTCGTGATATTATAAACTTATAATATGATGTGTCATTATATAATTGACTATTTTAATTTAGGGTTTTACTTGTAATATTATATACAGTTACTCATTTAATGTTATATCATATTCATTTAATATCATATTATGATATTGTTTTATACATCTGATTATGAGTTATACAAGAGGGCATAGCCATCCCCTATTCCCAAATCTCTCTCCACTTGACTCAATGCTAGAACTTAAAATCTTTAATTTGAAATCTCAAGTTTTTAAATGTTAAACCACCTCATTGGGGTTCAACACCATATTATGATAGTAAACTTACAACCTCATATAACATTATAACTGTAGTATTGCTAAATTTTTTTTTAGTGAAGTAAGAAATTTTAAATTTAAATCATAAATATGTGAGTATGTTAAATAAAGTATTGAAAGAGAATTAACTCTCGTTATAAAATCAAAAATCCTCCTACATTGAGCTACGAAATCTCTAACACTATGAGATAAATGTAAATATTTTTGAAGCATTATTCTTTTATTAGTCAAGAATACTGTCACAAATATTCTTGTGATATAACAAAATCTTCCTTAGACAAGGCCTTCATAGGGAAGATATATAATATGGTAAGGATATGCAAACAATGTTTTTTTTTTTTTTATATATATATATAAATTCTATTTATAATTTTTATATATTATTAAATAAGTAAATATATGTAATATCATAGAGAATAATAATAAATGGGGTCAAAATTTGAAACTAAAATTTGAGACTAATAATATAATATAAGTCATGTTATTTAAAATACTATAAAATAGACCCTATAATATTTAAGGACAATGATTAGTACATTCTTTAATTTAATACATTTTACAATATATTTTACAATACATTTATTAAAAATTATTATTTTTAAATTTAATCAAATAGTGTATTGATTATTACTTATTATTTAATAATTAATTTATTTTAAACCCATAATATTATATATATCAACTAATTTAAATATGAAATTTATATTATGTCATTAATCCTAAATTTTTGTCTCAAATTTTTGTTGTCTCTACCATTACTCTATCACAAATTTCAATAGAAAAAACTAATCATTAAATGACATTAAAATTATATGAAAAAATTGCTTTTGAATCATTAGTCTCTCTACCCCTATCCTTATGCTTAGGTGTTATCTCTAACATTTCAACATAAATGTAAAGATTTTTGAAGTGTTACTCCATTAGTCAAGATTATCTCATGACATTCCACAATTTTTTAAAAACAGGACGACCTTCCAAGGAACGATATGTTTAAATAAGTCTTATACACTATACTGATTAAACCATACACTTGCCACTCACTTTAATTTGGAACAAAAAGAGCTCACGCTAATAGTTATTGATTTGGCAATATGCCATCAATACACTTAGTGGTGCTAAATGAATAATGACAATTTAGAAAGGCAGTTCTCCCATAAAATGATAAAATAATACCAACATTTTTTTGTTGACCAATTGATAGTAGTTGTTGGGGTTAATTTAAATAAATTTTAAATACGTAACCTAATCAACCAAGGAAGGAATCAAGATAAGAGAGCATCCCCCTTTTTATTCAGATTAAAAATGCTTCGTTTAGCATATAAAGTGTATTTGTTTTTGGAAGTACAAAAGCTCATAGGTCAATTTTTGGATTGATTTTTCCATTTCCAGTTGCTTTCATCCACTAGGAATTAAAATAAAAAACTTGATGTTAACTTTCGGTATTAAAATCCCAAAAAGGAAAACAACAAACATATACTAAAAACTATTAAGAGACTTCACAAGTTGATACCTATTTAAGA